TGTTTGATCTTACACCAACCATGGAGCACGCCCATCCTTTTTGGTGCCAAAGCATTAAGAACTTATCTTCTTCAATTTTCATCTGTCCCAAAGCATCTAAATGAGCTATGTCAAAGAGATCATCCATCTTTTCCACATATTTTCTCTTTTTTCTTCTTCCCTGTCTGTAGTTTTAGTCTAATTTTTCTATAAAATTTTCCATTCATTTCAGAGTTTGAGTAGCTTATCATTGCCATGGTCAGTTCTTCATGACTCACTAATGCTGTACTTTCCTTCGCAGTAAGATTGTAGAAAAAAAAACACTTAAAACAGAGGAAGATCTATATCATAATGCCACAACAAAATGAATGAGTGCTTAAAAGTTATCATACTTATTATAAAACCTAGGTTGGTTGTGTGTGTGTTCGTTTATATATGAGATCGGATTTTCTACATTTTTCAACTGATTTCAACAAAACTTCAGAGGACTACGTAAAATTACCTTGTGGTGGTTCTGACAGTGCCAAAAATTGGAAAAACACAATTGTTTTTTGCACAAAATCAATTTGAAAACATGATTAAGAGGCATCACTGTCACCAGAATGAAAGGGGGACAACTCATATCGACTAATTAAGACATGCGTGTCTGTCAACCTTAAACAATAATCTTTGTCAATTTTATTTTTCAGTCTTTATGATGGTCGATACTTGATCTATCTCTTACTGTTACATCCCCGGGCAACGCTGGGCTCTACTGCTAGTTACAAATAAAACAACCTTTATTTACAAATACAGATGATGACAAAAAATAGGTGTTTGCTCTATACCTCTGCTTTGCCCCCAACTTTGCAAGTTGCCTTCCCCATTGTATTTAGAGTCACTAATCCTTCTGAACAATTTTATAATTTAAGAGAAAATTATATAATAGATAAAAATTTTTATCTGGAAAAAAATGACTTTCCAGGCAAAAATTTCAAAATTTAATGGTTGATGCAGGTTGCCTTGCAGTTGTCTGCTTGAGCTAAAATTTTGCATAGATTGGTTTTCTGTTAATTGAAACAAGATAGGGTGTTGGGAGCTAAAATTTTAGAAAGCTGAAAAATAAGGGTTATCCTAATGTGGCATGGCAGATTTTTGCTGCGATGAAGAACTGGTGGGACTAAGAAATGTAGCTTTTCAGAATATTTGCCAGACAAGAAGTTTGAGACATCTTGTCTGTGGGAAAGGTTTGTACAGTGGAATTTAATTCATCACCCACAAAGTTGCATAGCTGCTTTAGAAATCTATCAACACTAGCAAATGTGGACTGGGAAGCTCCAGCCCAAATATAGCAGCAATACTGCATTTTTAGTCTAGCCCTTGTAAAGATAAAGCACATCAAAGAGACATGGACCTGTACAGAGCTGATAGGTTCATAATATGAAGATACTGCTACAACCAACAAATAGTAAAGAAAAACATTATAAAAAAATTCATAGGATTGAAAAATCACAATTAAAACAAACATAACACAGATTGCTTTCTGAGATGTTAATTTCCACCTCCAAAACATATTTACCAATCATTCAAAAACCCAAATGACTACCAATTTTACATGAATATTTCTTCCATCCATCCTTCTATTCACCATAATCAAATGCAGATGATAAAGAAATATCACTAAAAACAGTGTTTTATGTGTGCATATACAACAATAATACCAATTTGTAATTGGTAGGGATAATTCCAAGGAGGACATTAGTCCAAAGAGAGCTCAGGGTAAGTAACAGAGCAATATAAGTATGAACGATCCTTAAAAATACATTTCAGATATAATTTATTTCATGAATATATTTAAATATTCATCTCTTCAGACTGAAGGAAATGAAATCAATTTGTCCAGACAAAAGGAAAAGGGAGAGGAAAAAAGAAAGAAAAGGAAAAAAATTTTTATAATAAAAGAGGAAGAAAAAAAAATTTCAATACAAAATTTTTTTTAAAAAAATTTAGGGAAGAGAGAGAGAGAGAGAGAGAGACGGAAAGAAGGAAGGATTAAATTTGAGCAGATAGGTTGACCTAGAAATAATTTTTTCCTTAAATGGCTGAACAAGTTAATATATAGCGGTGGGTATCAGAATTAAAATAGATACAGTAATATGTGTAATGAGGAGTCACAGTGGAGTAATGGATAGTGGCTCGGATTGACGAATCAGAGAGCTGAGTTTGAATTCCAGTCAAATCCATTGCATTCACTTATTTGCTAATACCCTTGGGAAAGGTATGAATTCTCTTCTTCTCCCCCACCAGCTATGGGTAAATAGCAGGACAGGCCAGGTTCTATAGCCTTGGATGGCAGCTGGTCTACTGCAGAAAGAAATGGTAACCTACTGCGAGAAAAAATTTGCCCTGTCAGTCATGTATCTTTCGATACATGATCGCCTAACTGTGTATGATGCATGGCACATAACTAATAATATGTCTAACAGCCATGTAATTTCAGATATCCAACACCAATAAAATAAACTAATTTAAATAAAATAAAGATATTAAATAATATAAAAAAAATACAAATTAATTTAATCAAGAGATAAATAAAAAACAAATATAAAGAACAACTTAAAAATATAGATAAGGATAAAAATAATAAAGATAATATTAGGAAAAATATTAATATAAAAACAATAATTTAAAACTATAACTAATGTAGGCAAGACCTTCTCATAAATGACCATAAACAAAAATGTGAATACACATTGTCACGTAGCCCCGATTTCATTAACCACATAGATGTTAGGCTAAAAAGCACCGCAAAGTAAAATCTTAAATTCTAGTTGAAAATTAGTTAGATATAAAAGAAAAATAAAGAAATAGATAAAAATAGAAATTTAATCCAATGCTTTCGACTTGCGAGCGAATATGTTCTATGATCAGCCATACCCTCCTCTTCTCTTCATAAATTTTTTCCCTCTTTATCTACTCTTCCACCCACAAGCCAAGGGCCCGTGAACTTTGAAGTGACCCGACGCGAGAATGAACTGGTTCCAAAATTTCGCAGCTATTAGGCGTTTGACCATGAGTGAATTCCAGGCACCATCAGGATCTCCTGCTGCGATTCACGTGATCAGAACGTACTAAGCATGTATTGAACTTTTGGCCATCACACAAACACTGCGTGATTTGCGCCCCATCCTCCTGTGTACCCGGTCAAGGACGAAGAGAACCCACGTGACTGTCTTTGGGGACAGCAAAAATCTATAAAAGGATTTTCAGTTTCCCTCTGACCAGCGACAGTGGAACGTCACTGGGGAAAATCGTCAGACTGCCCACTGAGATGAAGAAGGCAGCAAAGTCTGTCGACTAGGGGTGAAAGGACTGCTATGAAACTGTTCTTTTCTTTCTTTCTTTCTTTATTTCTTTATATATATTCATAAATAAATGTTTTATTTTGAAATCCATCATCTTGTGTCTGTTCTTCGTTGATTCCCTTGTGTCGCTTCCATTTCTGAGTGAAGACCGAGAAAAGATCCCACGTTTTCCTTTTTTTTTTAAACCCGTGGTTCATCTATATGCTACAAGTTCGTAATAACATGCATATATGTTAGTACCCATATAAAACACTTCAAGTGTATATTCCCCAAAATCAATGTTTTTAGGGTATTTTAAATCTTTTCTTGTGTCTAAAATTGAGGATAAGTTCATTCCTTTGAGTCAATAATTAGTCAGCATTTTTAGATGTAATCATTATTATTTTCTCTTGTATACATAGATTGCATCTATCCTGGAAGTTGTTGGTAGTCTGAGACTGACAGATGATATCCCATTTAATATGTAGGGTGAAGCCTCTATCTTTAAGTTTCCAATAATGTTTGTATAGCTCCCCAAGCAACTATCCACAAGTTTTTGTTTTTTTTTAATTCAGAGTTGTCTTCCTCCAAGACTGGTTTGCACCTAAAGCTACAGGACCCAGTTTGTCCTGCTATTTACCCATAGCTGGAGGGAGAATAGATGGATTCATATCTTTCTCAAGAGTATTTACATGTAAATGAATGTAACAAACTTGACTGGAATTTGAACTCTGGTCTCTCATTCCTCAGTATGAGCTGCTATCCATTACTCCACTCTGCCTTCACACACACACACACACACACACACACACACACACACACACACACACACACATACATATATATAAATAATATATTATTACATACAAATCAAGAACTAAAATTGAATAAAGAATAAGTAAAATAAACAAAAAAACTAAATAAATAAACAAATTAACAAACTATTAATGCACACATAAACACAAGCAAATGTAATAATAATAATAATCAATAACAAATAAGTTATCAATAATAAATAATGATAAAAAAATCACTATCAATTGGCTACAAATAACTGCATATGGATTCACAAATATTTCTACTCAAAAGTCTCTCTAATAATGGGAATATAAATGATACCCTCACCTAAAATCCATTAGGATAATAGACATTCTACCCATAATCCACCATTGATCAGTATATATAGTTGTGGGAAAACCCAACATGGCCTGACAAGGGGTTGTAGCAGATTTGTAGATGCTTATTTTTAATAGAAACTGTATTCGTTGCATTTGCCTAAATTCCTATTTAAACCGAGAAAGTGAGAATTTATTTATAAAATGTATTTTAACTTGGACTTTCGACTTTCTTGTTGGCATTTAAATGAACTTGCTAAAAGGACACATCTAACATTATCAATACTATATATTATCTTCATCATATATATATATATATATATATATATATAAAAAATTGTGTGTATGCGCATGTGTATGTAAGCATAATTCTATATTATATATAGATAAGTAAATCTATATATACACATATACTTCTCAATGCATTTGTGTTGTGTATATATATATATATATATATATATATATATATATATAAAAAAATAATGCTTGCTCTTTTGTAGATAATAGTTTCTCCTGCTCTGAACAGATAAGAATATTTTGAAATGATTCCTCTTGACATTTTTTCACTGTTTTCTCTTGGCAGCATTATGCCAGCCGCAATGGTCATCTGTCTACGTGCGAAGCCCTTGTCATGCAGGGTGCAAATGTTAACTGTCAAACAGCCAGTGGGAAATCCACTCCTTTACACAGAGCTGCTTACCGTGGCCACCGTCTTGTGGTGAAGTATCTCCTTAGCAAGAAAGCCAATCCTATGATTTGTGATGCAGATGGGAAAACAGCCTTACACAAGGTCATGACAGTTTTAGTTTCCGTTTTTCCTCTTTTTAATGTTTTCTCTTCATGTTTCCTGCTGTCTGTAATGTATTTACGTCTGGATTCTTTACTTGTGGCTGCTGGTGCATTTTCTTGTAATCTATATTTGGTAATATTATTAGCATTTTAAAAATCAATACCTGATATGAATATTATTACTTGATATCCTTGGTAGATTTACTAATAACTGAAGATTAGTCAATATTTGCTAATGTTGGTTCCCTCCCTCCAAGTCAATAGTTTCTAATTAGTTTGTCACACCTGCAGATTAAAATTAACTCAACTCTAGGACTCAACGTCTTTTCCTTCTATATGCTGTGTCCCATCAGGATGATGACTATCATGGTTCTCCACAATCTCTTGTCCTTTATAGCTCTTAGTAAAATTGATCTTTTTGTTAACCCTCCTAAACCCTGTTCTTTCATCTGTTTACATATGCTTATTAGGTAGGCTGTGCTGCTTTCCTCTGTCCCTTCAATATGTCCTGTGAGTATAAAATTTCCAAGCTCTCTTTCCTCATAATGTACCCTAGAAAGTTCAACCATTTATTCTTGATGTTAAGTATAAATATCCATTTTGTTTCCATCTTCTCTAAAACTTTGTTGCATGTTCAGTCCATGTTATTCTCAGCAGCCTTTTATAGAACCACATTTCTATTGCTTTATATTTCTTCATCTCTATGGAGATGGACCAGCATTCACTGCCATAGAAAAGGACTGATATTACATAAAAATGCAGTACTCTTTTTTTACCGTCTTTTAAAACTTTGCTGAGTTTTTGGAAAGTATCTTTTGCTATCCCAATGTACCTTTTCATTTCAGTGTTGCACTTTCCGACCTCTGTTAAAACATTATTATTATTATTTAAATTTTACCGTGAAAAGACATATTGTGACAATGTAATTGTCTTTATTAAGCATTTCACCCCAAGGAATGCGGGAGTGCCACTAGCATGCCAGGGGTTACAGAGAGTGGGAGCAAGTGTAAAGAGGCATGATAGAGGAAAGGATGAAGAGAAGGACTGGGAATTAGATCAAGGCATCTAAGTTATCAATTGACAGTTTGAATAATTGTAGATTATAGCTATCAGGGAAGCAAGTAAGAGGAAGAGAGTTCCACTGATGGGAAGTGAGAGACTTGAAGCTGTTAGAGTAGAAGAGGCGGCTTCATTTAATAGTTTCAAAAGTGAAAAGGTGGGACTGAGATGCCGACCTAGTAGCACGCTTAAATTCATGCAGTTTGGGAACTAGCGAAAGTAACTTGTAGGAAAGTGATTTTATTAAGACATGAGGTGGTAGGGAAGAACATTTATAAGGTGAGAGTGAAGATGGAAAGAGAGAGAGAGTGAATATAATATATAATTTTGGAAAGAAGTGAAGATTTAAAATCTGCTTAGAAAATAAGAATAAATGTAAAATTTCCTAATTGAAACTCTGAGGATTTGAAGCTGACGATCATAAGTAAAGTGTTTAGAAATGGTGATACGAGAATTTCCATGTTAGTAATTCATATCAGGTGGGGCAAGACTGAAATTTCAACAGAGGAATTTTAGCTTATTTTACCTGACATAAATCATACTATTGTGCTCATATTTATATGTACTTTTGGGGACAGTCAAAGAAATTTATGTGGCTTTGGATATCTGTGATCACCTGATCACAAGAGGGTGTCCTTCATAAATACAAGTTGCTGTAATGTGCATTGAGTTAGTTAAGTTCGAGCTCTGTTCTGGTTGCTAGCTTTGTCAATTAGCTCGTCGCATCACCATCGCCTGAAAAGTAATTTCACTTCCACATATTTTCTAGCAGGAGATGACTGAATTGAAGAAAGGCATGTGCTAACACCTTTTTCTCTTCACCTTAAAATACCTACTGCCTGTGTAGAAATAACTTATTTCCGCTGGACAATTTTTGTCATTTGTTTTTAATAAATCTTTATTATTGAAGATAATTCTGCTTATCAAGCTGTCTGTTCCTCTGAAGACAGTATTCACTCAGTATCTGAACAAAAAGAACAGCATAGCTTGGTGAGAACAGACAAAAGTAAATAATCTTTCTTTCTTCTTGTCGGGAATCCTCTAGCAAACCTCTAGCTAATACAACCAACTTCAATAGCACCATAACCCAAGGGGAGGTAGCCAGCAAAGTTACCATGGACACAGGTGTATATTTATAATAGGATGACCAGACCTTATAGAAAACTTACCTGACACAAAATTATCCAACACTGAATTTGAAGCTTTCAGCTTTGGAATAAATTTATTATACCTAAATATATTTTTATTAATATGTAATTTATAGCTCTGTTATATTACACTGAGCACTTTTTTATTAACACCAACACTCAAAGTGCAATATATATATATATATATATATATATATATATATGTCGGTACAGGAAAATATTTGTTGACAACATCAATATACTACACCATGACAATAAACTTCAAATTCTTAAGGCCCTCTATAAACCAACCAACACTCAACAAAATTTATTATGTGTGTAGCAACAATGTGTTGAAGTGCATTTAACAAATATTTAATGCCATTTTGCATTTCTACCAATTTCTGGTTAGCTCTCTTTTATTGCGATGTTTGTTTTACAAAAAGTTCCATAGCTACAATGGATAAATTTAAAATTTTAAAATAATTTTAACAGAGCACATTTACGTATGTTTTTAAAAGTCTCCATCACAATGAACACAGTCACAATAAGTTTGTCTTTGTAATCCCCCCCACCCCAGAGGATAATACTTGGGTAGGAAAAAAGCTATGGTGCCTTCCTTGATGAACTTCATTTTAATATCAAGAAAATGATTAGAGAACTAGAAAGGATTATTATTATAAATATAAATAGACATAATATATATATATATATATTTTTGGTTGGATAGATGTGAGTTTGTGACCCTGGGTTTCACACTTTAGCGATCGTCAGACAAACTCATTGAGCGCTTTCTAATAAGTACCGCGCATATAATATATAAATAATTATACATATATATATTTATTTATATTTATATACACTTTTCACATATATATATATATATATATTCAATGAAACATGTTTGAATGAAGATATGCTGCTTATATTCAAACATGTTTCATTGAATATATATGTACACATAGGTATATGTGTGTACACGCCTATATGTATGTACGTGTATGTGTGTATACACATGTGTCTTTGAACATAGGAATATAGGTCCTTGCTAGATTAGATAATCGTTATATTTATTTTTTATATGTTTATATTTGATTTGTAACCTGTAGTCAATCTTAATTTTGTCAAATTTTCTTAATTACACAGCGACCCTTTTAGTAAATGCCCTTCCCACACCGCTTTTTCTTTTCTTTTCCTCTCCCTCCCTCTTATTCTGATCTTTAACATTAGATCGTCTATGGTGTGTGTATGTCACCACAAAATGTATCCTTTCCGGTTCCATCTTTAATGTATTAGACATCCGACAACATTCATATTTCTCTCACTTAAACCGTCTTTGACTCCCCTCTCTAAAACTTCTCTCTGTTAAATTTGAATCCCCCACCTTCTCTCATCTGTTACCCCTCTCTATAGCTCTAACATTCGTCCCACACTCTCATACTTACACTCTCTCTAAATTTTATTTTTTATTTCCGGAGTTGTTTTTTCTGTTTTCTTTTTGAATTTGTAGTTCTGATGAATTGGATCATATTAATGATTCCAATGGAATAAATTATGACCATGGAATATTAGTGCTTAAGCCTTTTTTTATTATATATATATATATATATATATATATATATATACACATTTCATTAAATAATATAGACAAGTGTTGTCTATTTATTTTATGTAAAATTTGTTTCATAACATCTGATAAGTTTGATAACATTATCATTAAACGAAGAAAGAAATTCACAATATTGATCCATATTTTTTTAATATAATCTAAGCTTTCGGCTTGCTTAAGCCATTATCAAAGATGTAAATCACAAACATATTAAACAATATACGAACACGACAGTGATGATAGTCTGTTATTGTTTACATAGTTGATCACTAAGCAACGATAAACACGCGCATATAAGACGCTAGAAGCGAAAATCGCACCGCATCTCATGACGTCACACATGACTACACGAGAGTGAATTGTAGAATGAAGTAAGGAAAGCCGTTGGTATAAACCAATGGCTTCTGTTACCAATTATAGACATTTAAGAATATTTGTAGAGATGCCATAATTGATTTTGTTTAGGTTGGGTTTTAACTGTTTGATGTATAATGCTTCAAGTATTTTTAGTTTTTGTCTATTGTTTTCATATATAGATAGATAGATATCTCCATGCAGACACACATCAAGTGTAACAGCAAAATTGTCCATTTGATAGATGAAGCTTTGAACCATTGTATTTTACAAATGATTAAAGATATCTTACTGGAACTCTCCAAGGTTTTTATAACACTATTGAACTCTACTTTGAGGAATAAGAATGTATAATTACTCTCTAAGGTTATTAGAAGAATTGTGATAAAAATGATCATAAAGAAAATGATATGTTCATTAATTAATCATAGCTAAGGATCGGAAGCTCATGAATGAGTAAAATTAAGTTCAAACATATATATATTATTCTTTTTCCAACTTATTCAAGATGATTTTTGCCCTCCCTAGCTTTCTAACTTTCTTTTTCTGGAGTAACAAGAAGCCTCACACATCTCACATACAATTTCATTTTCAAGTCTTTTTTTTCACTGCTCTTAGCTGACACACCCCTCTCACATGCCAAACATATTATGGATTGAGTTAGATCTTTTCTAATTGATCTCTTTAGCTCTAAGTTGAAATGATGATCCTATTGTGATCTTCTGATCCAGTTTCCCTCTCTACTGTTTCCTCTTTTTTAAACTTAATTCACCATTCTTTTGATGGTTCTTGAATGGTCTCTGAAGATGGTAGCCAGAGTATGAATGTTGGTACCATTACCGAAGGTCTGAA